ATGAAGGTAATTCCTTTTTTTGAGATTGCTTCTAAAAGATTTTAGAAAACATTTATTATACATTAAAAAAAAGGTGTCTAAATTTCAGCAATTGCTTAGTGTATCGAATGGGAGGAACCTCACTTGACATCACTGTATTGAAGGTGATGGGAGGAATCTACCAACTAAGGTCAAATATTCACAGAGCTTCTGTTGGAGGGAATACATTAACAAGGTTACTGAGAGATTTTTGTGCACAGGAATTCCAAAAGTAAGTGAACATAACAGTAGTATTTCTGAAATGTTAATCAAATGTATGAAAGACTGTTCTGTTTTGTAAAAATTACATCATTAATATTTTCAGATTCAATTAGAACATGAATATCCTTTAATTAACCCTTTCATGACCAGGTTATTTTTTACTCTCAGAAACAAAGAAAATGGTAGAAATTTTATTTGATTGATATCTTGTATATTATATAAAAAAAAAGGCTGTACAAATGGTATGGTTTTGGGGGAATAGAAATAGCAGATGTGCCAGGTATGACCCTAGGGGTAAGTAAGGGGTTAAATGTCTGTTTGTCAATGTATGTATATATGCTTTTATATACACCTGTATTCCATGTAGGCAGTACAGGGTTGATATCCGGGAGAGTAAAAGATCTTTGTGGAAACTACATAGTGCAGCAGAAACCTGTAAACACGTTCTCAGTACCATAGGCTCGGCACAGTGTTTTGCTGAATCTCTGCATGAAGGCATTGACTTTAGTATCAATGTAACTAGGTAAAAAAATCAGTTTCATTTATTTTGTCCAAAGAACTGAGTTCATGCTAGACAATTAATAAATAAATTATTTTAAAGTATTTACAGTAGTTAATTGTGTATGCACATAGATATTATCTCTGTTTGCTCAACTGAACAGATAACTTACTGTTATAAGACGTTTCTCAAAAAAATGTTTCATGTACTTTTTATTTAAGTTTGACCAAATTAAATGAAAGGAGGACATTAGACAACAGTGTTGGTTGTATAAAACAAAACACGACATCACTTTGTCCAGTATTGATTGGATATGAACAGTGTTGGTTGTATAAAACAAAACACTACATCACTTTGTCCAGTATTGATTGGATATGAACAGTGTTGGTTGTATAAAACAAAACACGACATCACTTTGTCCAGTATTGATTGGATATGAACAGTGTTGGTTGTATAAAACAAAACACTACATCACTTTGTCCAGTATTGATTGGATATGAACAGTGTTGGTTGT